GTGTCTATACTATCGACGATAAATTTCGTAAGAAAATGGCGGATCTATTATGGTCAACACGCGTTTGCGTTCTTGGATTAAATCTGAACATTCCAAATTAAGTTTGATATTTTAGTATTCTTTTTATAATCGATTCTGTGCCAAATATTTTTTTTTATATTAAATAGATTTGATAAGTTTTTAATATCTTTATATGTATGTATTGTACATATATACATCTATACGTAAATAAAAGAATACGTGTATTGTAATGTTTTGAGTGGGCTGCAAGAATCAACATTTTAATGTCGATTCTTATCTTGACTAAAAAAAAAAATAATGTCAAGAGTTATGACCTTCGTCAGCTTACAAAACTAGAAATCCTTCAGTATTATTCATTTCTTTCAGTAAAATTGCTTAATGTACAATTTTTGACTTAAATGATAAATGTTTTCTAAGATTTTATATATAAAGAAATTAATATTTTACAAAAAATATTATTCTAATGTTTTTCATTTTCGATTAAATATTGAAAATAAACATTATTATTATTATTTTATATATAAATAATGGAACAATACAAGTTTTTTATAATTTCATTTTCTTACGTCTATACAAGTTTTTGCTTACACAATTTCTCCTTTATAATTTTACTAAAAGAAAATATGCTACTTAAATATCAAATAATTATTGTATTTCAAACGTTTATTTAGTTTTGTAATTAAGAATTATTCAAAATTGTGAGTTACGAAGTTCTCTAAATGTTCTTTACCCTTTGCTTGTTTTGCGGATCATTAAAATAAGAACATACATAAACATATTTTAAATCTTTATAAATAATCTTTAAACTCAAAGAATAAAAGAAAGCTTACAACTATATAAAATAACAAAGAATCTATAAATAAAATTTAAAAAAATATATTATATTACTATCTTTATGGTATTTGTATGAAATTTTTTAAAATAATAAACATGTTGATAACTAGACTTATACTATTGCATTTCCTGTTTTTCCTCATTAACTTCATTAGTTCGAGCATTTCGAAATTTTCATTGAATATAAATAGACTTTTCCTGTTTAAATATAAACATTTTTTTTTTCTATTAGAAAAAAATGAAACAAACTGAAAGCATGAAAATAAACAAACAAAATGATATTGGATACATTAAATTTCTTAAATTGGTTTCAATTTCAACTACTTTTAAATTTCACAGTAAAATTGTGTAATTGTAAAAACAGCTTTACTCTGAATAAATCCAGTACTAAGTATTCCCTAACTCACTTGTTCTAAAAATGAATACAGTAAGTGAATATTCTTATCAGAATCTACTTCCTAGAAATGATGAATAAAGCAGTTTCCTACAGTAAATTACAATAGTTCTATTTTCTCCAAAGAAGGGAGTCGTCCTTCTGGCAATCTCCTGCGGGTGGTCTCGTCTCTCCAAAAGACTACATCTTGCTGTGCACAATGAGACTACAGGACATCACAGTGAAATTTATTTTTATGTCATCCAATTAAAATTATATTTTTTTTAGCTTAATGTCTACACATTTATTCATTTTATACAGCATTAAAATATTTCGAAAAAAAAAATAGTTTTAAACTTATTTAGATTTTTTTTTCCTATTTAATAGTTGCTATATTAAGAAATATTGTAATGTATTTATTTATATTTATTTATGTGTAGTAGTCATTGAAAATGAATTACAGTATTTTAGTCCTGTATTTGGTAACGTTTATTGTTATAAAATGTGCTAAATATATAAAAACAAATTCATAACGTAAAAACAGCAAATTTATTTTATAAAATACAGTATAAAGGGTAATCGACTTTTGACTGTGACAATTAATATAAAAACTTTAAAACTTTTATTAATTTTTAAATATTCGATGATAAATTCTACAATTAAAGCATCTATTTTAATATAGCTTCCATCATAATTGAGATAAAAACATTTATACTTTAAGAATAGATATAATATTAAGATGCAGAGAACAGTAACATGGCCTTAAAATGCATTTAACGGCAGTGTCATCGACAATCTGTATGTGGTCTGGAGAAGAGCGTGTCCCCTTTTTTAAAACATTAATAAAAAATTATTATTTTTGGTAAAAATAACATTAATTTATAGGGATAGGAACCGCTACGGGTCCCCCAGATTTCCCAGGCCAGGGAAAAAATCCTTAGCTCCCCTCTCGACTGCATGTTTAACGGATATAGGTTTAATACGTGTAATGGTAAGTCGATAATGTAATTCAGATATAGTATTACGAATACTTAGGCTATATCAAATTATTTTAAAATATTCCATTTGAGATAATTAAAATTTTAAATTAAAAATAATATATAAATAAATTATTTGGGTATGATTAAACAATGTAAAATGAAAATAATTTATTGTAATAAATCAATTTTTAATTTTGTTTTTAACATTAATGAAAATAAATTTTATATTTTAGTTATACGATACTTTAATAAGTAGATGAATGTAAGTTCAAAATATAATAAAATTAAATTTTTAATTTCCTTCTAATTTCTGCTTTACAATTCCTTGACTGAAGTAAGTTTAATATATCAGAATTTGTTAAAAAAAAACAGAGTACACCTGCATAAAACAGACAAAATTATTTACGAGATGCATGCTTCACCTTCTTTATTATTATTTATTTATTTTTTAAATCTTTAAGTTTAAACTTATATTACGGAATAAGTATGTTTTGAATGTGTATGTGTGTTAACAACACGAAAACACGTAGACAAATACAGATACAAACACACATCAAACATAAATGTGTGTTGTATGTACTGTACCGTAGAATTTTAGATATTCTCTGGTACAACATAAAGCCGGATTTATACTTGTAAGAGGCTCTTCTTTCACCAAATAATAATGGGCAATACGTACAAACTTGTTTTTGAAAACAGAACGAGACCCCTCGTAACGTAAGGCCCTAAATCTGGCTCTATGTACAGCACCAGGGGCTTCGAGAGACATCGCTGAGTCTGAGGAAAAATTTTACATCAGCCCCAAGTAAATAAATTATTTGAAAATTTGGATTTTTATTTTATGAATATATTACTTTTTTCAAAAACAAAAAACAATAATTATTTTCTTTGTGTTGAAACATTAATGAAAGTAAATTATATGCTTAACAATAATTATTGTTAAGCATTTTATATTACCGGGGAGTTATTAGCGCGTTAAAAACAAATTGCGGGATGATGTCCGGGTCCCTGTGAATTTTACTCCATCATCCCTTCCCTCTCGTCGGCCATGCATGAAAACATATCAATCTGAGTAACTAAGTTAGTAAACAGTATGTCTTTATGTCCGGGCAGGACGGTCTCGCCCCTTTCTTTCTGATTCTCCACTTTAAGGGATTCTGTGGACATCTCGCAGTCATGCCAGAAGCTCTATTTCAGGTCAGCCTTCGCCCGGACACCCGATTAATTTCGCATATTACGTGTCACCGTGTTTGTTTAAGTTATGGCAAGCAACACTTGGGAGATCTGCCTAGGGGGATGCCTTCCGGGAGGTTTTTTAAGGGAAACTGGCCCGTATTTAGGCATTACAGGCGTGGAGAAAACCCGAAAAACTCCACGTGGTCAGCCCATCCGAGCGAGCGTGAACCCACGACCACACGACCGAACGCCCAGTGTTCAGGATACGAAGACCGCTTGGCCACTGGTGGGCCCTACGTGTCACGATCTCTGACCGATCCGATAAAACCGATTCAGCCGAAAGCAGAAGACCAAATCGCTTTGTCTTCGTCCAAATATACTATATCTGCTTGACAGATATAATACTTCTTCAAAACATGGCGGAACAAACAAACAAAAACAGTTTTGAAGACAGCATTACGCCAAAATATTTTCATGACAACGGGAATCAAAATACTTGTCAGAAGGATTAAAATTATTTTATCAGTAAATGTTTCCAGCAAAATTAAGGAAATTCTCTATTGCACTAACACGTCTTTTAATAAATATTATCCGCAATTTATTTGAGCAACATTTACGGAAAATACTAAGCGAGAATATGTGTGCCGTCACAAACCGCACGCATCAGTACAGAATGGCCGAACATGGTCACTTGAAACATCGTGGCCGAAATAAGACATTACCATCGTTTATTGAAGCCAGCACGTGCTATTTCCCATTTATTTCAAATACACACTATATTATTTACTATTGAACACAAGACTGTGTTATTATTAAAACACTTGGCGTTATCAACTGAATAAAGTGGATAAACGCCAAGTGTTTTAATAATAACACAGTCTTGTGTTCAATAGTAAATAAATACGAAAACACGGTTTCAAAAAACGGAACACACTATATTATGTTGCCTCCTAAAGTATGCGAGACGGATTTCCTATAGTGTGCGCACGTTCATAACTCATAATTCAGAGGTGGATTTTATTTTCTCTCCATCCGTTTCGTCCGCCCGCCCTATCAAACCTTCTCAAATCTTTGCCCATCTTCCATCTTCATATTGCAAATTGCAATTTTTACAAATTCTAACAGCGACGTTTAAAATAATTATATATCTTTGCACATATCGCCTATATTCAGGCCAGCGTGAACTTTTGGGGGTCGGGTTCCCAGAAACACGCTGAACTCGTCTCCCGCCGGCCCCGATATTCTAACCTATCACAATAGTTATATTTATTATTAATTTATTCATTATTTTCAACAATTATCATTTTATGGACAATCTGAACAACATTTTGAACGAGATGTGAAGAGAAATAGTAAACTCTTTTTACTTTTATTGCGTTATTTCTGTTCATTTAAGTATTTTGGGGCTTTTTACTTTTGAGCGAAAACTTCACATTTTCGACAACAAAACAATGTTCTAAAGTTCCATCATACACACAACTAGAGAGGAGAAGAGGAGGACCTCGGAATCCACTCTTAAATTCACTGTATCTCGCGCATTTTCTAAAATCAGTTTATGTTACTTCTTTATTTTAGTTCTATAATCCCGATTTGAAGCTTTTCTGTCAGCATTTATTTAACCTCCAACAATATTCTTTTGCCTGATTGACTGCTTTATATCGGTGATCAACATAACTGACACTATGAACAGCCAATCTACATTCAATTTCTATATTACCGGTAAATCGGATTTTCATATTCAAGTGATATGAAACTGTATTTAGAAAAAAATACTTGCTCTTTTAGTTTTTTTCTATTATTAAAATGTTGAGTAATAAAATGAAATGTTGTTGCACCATTGATCTCGTAGGGTTCTCTTCAGCATTTATTACTGTTGTAATAAGTTTAAACGGCTTTAGAACTTTTTTCAAATTTCCTACGAGATTCCAGTTTTTTGGGTTATTTCTAATTTGTTTCAGTGATATTTTTATCGTAAATGACATTTATAACCGCTTCTCTTTGCTCCAGAAGTCATTCCACCATTTGAAGTACAGTATTAAATTCAAATGGGTTTTCTACGATTAAATCAATTTACATTTAAGCAAGCTGTGACTTTTCTGATAAGCGAATAGTGCACTTTTTGCAACCGTGGAATGTTTAAAATGCCTGAAAATCAAATTTCACTTATTAATTCCTTAATAAATTCTTCAGTAAACCCTTTATCACCAAAAGTTGCAAACTATATGCAAAAAACACCTACTATTGTCAACTTGCAATGAACGTATCATAACACTATTTGCAGCATTATTGTGTATCATAGTATGAACTGTACTCGTCATTTATTACTAATTCTAATTTAGTTCTTAGGTGTTTACTTGAATGCTTTTTAAACTCATACTCCGTTGTCAATGTATATGACACTAACTCTTAATAACGACAGAATGTGCTGTTACTGTCCTAAATACATTCATTTTATGCCATGTCCAGCGATTTGTTAAAGCAACACTATCGATGTTTAATAAAATTTGATAGATACTACTTTTTTATTGTATAATTTTATTCTAAATTTTATAGTATTGCGAACAGGAATTTTATAATTAGGGAACAATTTTTTTTAATAAACTACTTCAAACCCTTACCGTTTATAAAAAAAATAAGGGAAGCATATTTCCAGCAATTGTACTAACTAGTGTCTGTCTTGAGAGTCACAGCAGTGACTCAGCGCCAAGCAAAAAGGCACTGACTGATTATATATACAGGAATCAGCGTTGCCGATATTCCTGGGTTGATTTCTCCTCCCTCCAAACGCTTAAAATAATTCTGAATATTTCGTTCGAATGACAATTGTTTTATTAGGTAGTGTGTAAAATTTTAGATTTTTCTATAGTGGGATTGTCGAAATATAAGCAATTGACAGGTGTAATAGTTGTCAAAATAGCTGTATATTATTTTCTTCTTCTTCTTATTTCGGAACTGCAGACATTCGTAGAGAAAGAACTATTTGGTTAGAAATAAATACTGTATAACAATGAAAAAAATACTTTAAAACATAAATAACTAATAAGATATTGCACATTATACATATCGTATGTATATAATTATAAATAAATACTACAAATCTATAATATTGCCAGAGTAATAGATAAAATAATTTTTGAGTTTCCAAAAAGAAAATACGACAAATGCACAAACTTCAACCTGAACTTCAATCAACTTGTATTTTATACATATGCATTTCGAGTTTTCTTAATAACTTCTCTTCAGCTTAAAAATGTAATAAAAAATTCAATTAAAAAACTATAAATATTCACCTTCCGACATTATTCTAAATAACTTGATATAATTCTTTTACAGATCATCATATATAATATATGGGTAAATTAGAGTGACTTTCGCTGTGTATTCCGCTTAATATATTGAAGAAAATTTAAAATTTAATTTTATCTTTAAACCAAGTTTAACAATAAATTAAACGTGGTATATTATTTTACTATATACTTAAACAATTTAATTATAATTATACAGTGAAAAATGTATAAAGCATCTGAAAAGCAATCTAAACTAGAATTGACCTTAATCAGCTTTGCAAGTTAACCTCATTTAAGTATCTTTCACAGATTTACATAATACAACCAGCAGCAGCGAAAATTTATCTAAAACCGGATCGAAAGTTCATTTTTTTCGCATATATACACGTTTTTAATTAACATACATAATGCATATTTCAGGCATTTTAACGTACGTATAAATTGCACTACTACACTTTACAGCATATAGTATACAGTAGAGCATATGCATTCTCATAAACTGCAATTTTAAACTATAAAAATCCGTCTCTTATTTCATTTTTAATAGCAAGTATAGGTCTACTCAATGAGACGTCGCTTATATTACAATTAAATGTTCTTATGTGGCAATAAATGGATGATTGAATGTAGTTCAGCCTTATTGTTGTATTATTCTTTAAAGCTTGTTTTTAACTGTTGACCTGTTTCCCTTATTATTTTGCCGGTTCTGTACTGTACGTGTACATTCAAAAGTATACACTACATAAGACTTTCCAATATGTCTTCTATAGAATTTGTGCGTTTTGTTGACATGTTCC